CCTGTTGTGTGGATTCCAGAACTGCACGCAATATTCTAGCTGTGACCTAACCAACTTCTTACGCAGTTTCACTATTACCTTTATGCTCTTAAACTCTAAAAGTCAGCTAATAAAGGCAAGTGTCCCAAACACCTTCTTAACCACTTCATCTACTTGTCCTGCTATCCTAAGGGACCAGTGAACAGGCACACCAAGATCCTTCTGATTGTCTATGCTTCCCAGGCTCCAATAGTTCATTATGTATTCCCCATACTGCCCAGGTGCTTAACCTCACTTCTCTGAATTGAATTCCATTTGTCGGTGACTAGCCCATCCATATCCCCCTGTAATCTAAGGCTGTCCTCTTCATTATTTTCCACCCCATCAATTTTTGTATCATCTGTACGTTTACTGATCAACCCTCTTCCATTCAAGTATAAAACATTTATATATACCAGAAACAGCAAGGGCTCAACACTGATACCTGCAGAATGCCACTGGACACAGGCTTCCAGTCACAAAAATAACCCTCGATCATTACCCTCTGCTTCCTGCCACTCAGTCAATTCTGGATCCAATTAGCCAAATTTCATTGGATCCCATGGGTTCTTACCTTCCATATCAGTCTCCCACACAGGACCTTATCAAAAGCCTTGCTGAAATGCAAGTAGGCTACATCAAATTGCATTGCCCTCATCTATACACCTGATTATCTCTTCCAAAAATACAATCAAATTGATCAGATATGACCTTCCCTTAACAAACCCCTACTGAGTATTCTTGATTGATCCTTGCCTCTCCAAGTGCAGCTTAATTTGGTCCCTCAGAATTACTTCCAGTAGTTTCCTCACCACTGAGCTTAGCCAGATTGCCATATAGTTTCCTTGTTTATGACTTACTCTCTTACTGAATAGTGGTACTAAGTTGGCTATCCTCCAGACTGCTGGCACCTCTCCTGTGGCTAGGGAGGAATTGAAAGTTATTGCCAGCTGTTTCCTCCCTTGCCTCATTCAAAAGCCTGAGATACATTTCATTGGGCCCTAGAGATTTCTCTACATTTAAGCCTGCCAGACCACTCAGAACCTCCTCTCTGTCTATGCTAATTTCTTTAAATATACCACAGTTCTTTCCCCTGATTTCTATACCTACATCATTCCTCTCACTAGTGAACACTGACACAAATTATTCATTTAGAACCCTCTGGCAGAAATTCCCACTGTGGTTGTTAATGGGGTCTGCTTTTTTTTCTAGATATCCTTTTATCTCAATGTACTCAAAATAACTTGGGATTTTCCTTTATTTTACCTGTTGTTATTCTTTCATTTTCCCTTTTTGCCCTCCTAATTTCCTTTTTAAGTTTCCTGTTGCACATTCAGTACTTCTTGAAGCCTTCTGCTGTTTTGAGCTCTTGGTACCTGCCATAAGCTTCCATTTTTCTCTTTATTGAATCATATATATTCCTTGATATCCAGGATTTTCTGGACTTGTTAGTCCTGCCCTTTATCTTTATTGGAACATGTTAGCCCTGTACTCTCTCTATTTCCTTCTTGAATGGATCCAGCTGCTCCAACGCAGATTCACCTAAAAGTATTTGCTCCCAGCCCACTCTGGCCAAAGCATACCTGAGCTAATTAAAATCAGCTTCCCCCGGTTTAGAACTTTGATTTCAGGCCCATCCTTGTCCTATTCCATAACAGTCTTGAATTTAATAGAATTATGATCACAGTCAGAAAATGCTCCCCTGCTGATACTTCAATCACTTGTCCAGCTTCATTATCTCAGGACCACACCCTCTCTAGTAAAGCCTTCTAAGCACTGGCTTAAAAAGCTCTCCTGGGTGTGTTTTAAGAATCTCACTCCCTCTAAATCTTTCATGCGATGAACATTATGTTGGGGAAGTTAAAATTCCCCACTTCCAATACTCTGTTACTTATACAATTCTCTGAAATTTGTCTACATATCTGCTCATCTGTTCCTCTCAAACATTAGGGGGCTGTAGTACACTCCCAGTAATATCATTTCTCCTTTCAGTTTTTTAAGTTCTACCCATATTGCTTCATTTGAAAAGTCCTCTAAGTTTTAATTCCTCCTTACTGCCGTAATTGATGCACTGATCAGTTTAGTGACACCCCCTCCTATTTTACCTCCTTCCCTGTCTTGCCTGAAGACCGAGTACCCTGGAATATTGAGCTGCCAATCCAGCCCCTCTCTCAACCATGTCTCAGTGACAGCAGTAACCTCATACATCCATGTTTTAATTTGTGCACTCAACTCATCTCCTTTGTTTGCCAGACTCCTTGCATTAAGCTAAACATCATCCAAACTTGCCAAACTCCCTTGTGCCTTAACTGGCATATAATTTCTATTGATTCAGAATACCAACACCCCTCTGCTAAGTTAGTTTAAACCCACTCCAACAGCACAGGAAAACCTACCCACAAGGATCCTAGTCTTAATCCAGTTCAGGTGCAACCCGTCCACCTTGTACAGGTCCTACTGCCCACAAAAACAGTCCCAATGTTCCAGAAACCTAATGTCCTTCCTCCTGCATCGTCTCTCCAGAATGCTGGACTAACCTCCTATTTCTATACTTACTAGGGTGTGGCACCAGAAATAATCCAAGACCTTTTGGTTCCTGTTCTTTAATCTACTTCCTAGGTGCCTGAATTCTGCTTGCAGGACCTTATCTTTTTTTTTATACCTATGTCATTAGTACCATGATCTCCGTCTGTTTGTCCTCTGCTTTCAGAATGCCCTGTGACATTCCTGACCCTGGCACTGGGAAGGCAACATACCATCCTAGAGTCTCTTTTTTGTGGGCAACAAACTCACCCCATGGTGTCTTAAAGTTGATTCCCACTGCTTTCTGCTGTGGGAAATAGATTCAAAATTAAGAAGGACTTGCTATCGTACGGAGGAAAAAAGTTGTTTCTAGTGGCAGGCCGGTCAGAACCAGACAACACGGATTTAAAATATCTGGCAAAAGAACCAGGGCAAATGAGGAGAATTTTCTGCACAAAAGTCTTATTGTCTGGGATGTGTTGGAAGCAGATTCAGGAGTAACTTACAAAGGGAATTGGATACACACACGAAAAGGAAAAGAATACGGGGTTTTAGGGAAAGGGTAAGGAATGAAACTATTTTGGTGACCCATTCAAAGATCCAGCAAAACATGATAGTCTGAATGGCCTCCATCTGTGCCCTACCAATCTTGAGGCAGACTTCTTGAAATCCATGCTGTGCCAGGTAATCCTGGACATCTATTTGAATGAGTGGAAATTTATACTCTACACTCTAAGGCTGAAACAGTAACATTGCTGAGGTTGTAGACATGCTCGCCGAGCCAGTGGGTTTGGTCGCAAATGTTTCATCATCCTGCTAGGTAACATCTTCAGTGTGCCTTTGGTGAAGCGTCGGTGCTCTGTCCCGCTTGTTATTTATATGCCTCGGTTTGCTGGGGTAATTGGTATTATTTCCGGTTTTGTTTCTCAGTGGTTTGTACACAGGGTCTAATTCAATGTGTTTGTTGATGGAGTTCCGGTTAGAATTCTAGGCCTCCAGGAACTCCCTGGTGTGTCTCTGTTTGGCTTGTGCGATTATCGATGTGTTGTCCCAGTCAAATTTGTGTCCCTTGTTGTCCATGTTTAGTGAGACAAGTGAAAATTGGTCGTGTCTCTTGGTGGCTAGTTGGTGTTCATGTATCCGTATAGTCAATTTTCTTCCAGTGTGGCCTGTGTAGTGTTTCTCACAGTTCTTGCAGTGTATTTTGTATATAACCCCAGTTTGGCCAGTTTTGGGTATGGGATCCTTCACATTCATCAGTATCTGTCGTAGGGTGATTGTACAAAAACAAAGTTGCTGAAAAAGCTCAGCAGGTCTGGCAGCATCTGTGGAGGAGAAAACAGAGTTAACGTTTCGGGTCCGGTAACTCTTCCTCAGAAGTTCTGAGGTAGTTCTGAGGAAGGGTCACCAGACCCGAAATGTTAACTCTGTTTTCTCCTCCACAGATGCTGCCAGACCTGTTGAGCTTTTCCAGCAACTTGTTTTTGTTCCTGATTTACAGCATCCGCAGTTCTTTTGGTTTTTATTTTGTAGGATGATTGTAGCTTTATGGGTTACTCTGATACCTAGGGTCTGAGTAGTCTTGTGGTCGTCTCTGAAATGTCCTTGATGTATGGTAGGGTGATTAGTGATTCTGGTCGTGTTGTGTCTTCCTGGTGTGGTCTGTCTCAGGAGGTAACAGCGGATTGTGCTTTTCGGGTATCCATTTCCTTTGAAGACTCCGTATAGGTGTTCTTGTTCTGCTTTGTGTAGTTCTGGGTTGCTGCAATGTGTTGTGGTTTGTTTAAATAGTGTCCTGATACAGCTCTGTTTGTGGGCGTTGGGGTTGTTGCTAGTGTAATTGAGTATTTGGTCCATATGTGTGGTTTTTCTATGTATGCTAGTCTGGAGTTCCCCATTGTTTTTGCGTTCTACCATTATGTCCAGTAATATTACGATTGAAATAGAGGGCTTAATTTCAATCTTAGCACTTCATCAAAAAAGGTGCTTGATTTGGCCAGTATCTAGCATTACAGATTCTTGCTGCTTTTCCACTATTGACTATTGACTTTATGCCTGAGATTTCAGTGTTGCAAGTCAGAAAATTTGCATTTGTTTGTTTTTGGCTCCTACGTTCTGATTCCAATCAGAGCAGCTCAATATTTGGAATTGATGTTAGTACAGTCACTCTGTGTAAACTGAAACAATGAAAAAGAGGAAACTGAATGCAGGTACATTGTTTATTAACTTATTTATTTGGTATGTCCCAGGGTGGTCACGTCACACTCACTAATAATAAATGTATTGATCAATAAATGAGCGTAATTTGGAAACATGGGCATAAACTGCACATCTGTATACGTTGCAGTTTACCGATCCCCAAGAGACAATGCCAACTAGGTTCCAGCCAGTATTTCCATAACAATCAAGAGGGCCTCCAGATTCACCCTGCAATTTTAACAAATAGAAAACCTTAATATTCCATGAAATGAAATGGAATTCAAGCAGTCTTTGCTGCAAAACTTTCTGAACGAACGTATATGTAATTTGAAAGGAAAAGCAATAACACATGTCCATTGAAAGTTATGGTAATGTCCCAGATTCCTAATGAAAAGGCTAAACTAACATGTCGTACCCATTAGAGAATTTTTTCCTTCATCTTTTAGATTTTTTCCAACAGATTGAATTCCACGAAAGACTAACTAATTAAATTATCGGCAATCAAAAAACCTACCAGTTAGTGACAAAGTAACTTTATTTCAGAAAGAGGAACAAAACAAAGTTGAGTTATTCTATCAACATGAATTTTCAGTCATGCTGCAGTGCACCCATTGAAGTGAAGGTTATTTCGAGGAATTTGTATGTGTACCATTGTACAGGTAGTTCCCTGTTGGAGTGGGATATCAAATCTATGCTGACTTGAAAACCTCACTCAGATCTCAACTGATGAAAATGATTTGAAATTGAAGCATTAATGCCAATTGAAGGAGCTAGCTATGGAACTCACTGAACTCATTATTCCCATAACCCAACTAAATGACAAATGTAACTCTAGCCAGCAACGAAAAATGTCCCATAGTCTCATACAAAATGTTGGAAAGACAGATTGTCTAGCATATATTATACAGTTAATTTGATTTTAATTTACTGCTATAGTCAAAGTGACTTAAGTCTATGTTATTCAAAACCCCAACTCATACAGTCATAGTCACAAAATAAATGTATTGTAGACTTCACAATGAAGCCCACTCAGCCTTTTAACATAATCTAAGCTTTCACAGCAAGAGGAGGATCCAGAAGCACCAGCGCAAATCATAATGTCGCTGATTTGGTTCCCCCAGTACTGTTGACAGTTTTGTGAATCAATAATGGGAATATTAGTTTGCATCAATTTGCTGGAGGTGGCTAGAAGGAAATAAATGAGGGAAGCAAAGATTAATTATAAAGAATTACAAGACGACTGTTCAAAATTAATTTGGTGAAGTATTTTAGAAAGTTCTTACCGCCTCCAGGTACTGTCCATCCCCATCCAGTAGTAGTACAGATTGTGCCTCCTGGAATGTAGGCATTAAAAGCAACAAGTCTGATTGGAGAGATGTAGTAATTTATGTTGGCTGGGGAAGACAGTCTGAGAAGAGTGCAGTCATAGTTCATGTTATAGGGGTTCCAGTAAGAATGGGTTATGACCTGTGACAACGATATGAAATGCCACACATTCATTCTACTGTCTTCACAAAGTGTTAAAATAACTCAGGATAAAGTTGAAAGAAATTTAGGAGATGTAGCCTATGCAGCGATGATGGGTTGAATGGTCTCCTCCTGAACCATAATAATTGTGATTCTATAATAAAATATGTTCAATACCTAATGTATCTGACCAACATAAAGCTATCATCGACAAAGTCAAAAGTCAAAACCAAGGAATGTATGACAGAAAATGTTGTGATCGCATAGTCTTGTGCTTTGGTCAAACCATACCTTGAGCATTGTGTCCTGTTGCAGCTACAAGGAATTGGAGGAGATAGCATGGAGAAAAACGACAGACATCCTGGGTGAGGAGTGATTTTTCTGAGAAACAAAAACTGAACTTGAGATTTACAGCCTGGAAAGAAAACGCTGAAAGGTGGCCTGGTAGAAATATATACAATTTAAAGATAAAGGGATGTTTAATCTGTTATAATACTTAGGCAGGACTGGGTAAAGGAAAAGCACTAAATTAGTAAAAGCTCATTTTAAGGTTGTTAATGGTAATTTCCTCTAAAAACCTGGAATGGATCTCTGAGCAGAATGGGAGAGAATATCTGAAATCACTTAAGAAAAATTCATTGTAGCAATAGGAGAGTCTAGTGTTCTTCTGCAACTAAGTCCAATAGCCTTTCTCATCAATGAATATTCTTGTGTATATGATCACTGAGATGGACATAACAACATAAGAAATAGGAGCAGGAGTCAAACATTTGGCCCATCTAATCTGCCCTGACATTCAATAAGATTATGGGTTATCTTTTGTGCCAGCTCATCATACATGTCAACTGTCTGACATTTCTAAAATCTATCCACCTCCGAATTAAATACTTTCAGTGATATCCATCATAACCATCTGAGCTGGAGAATTCCAGACATTCACTAACTCCCTTATGCCTCAGATTTAAATCAGTGCCCTCTTATTCTGTAACTAGTCTCTAGTTTGAGATCTCCCTTTCCCTCACAAGTGGAAACATCTTCTCAACATCTACCCTATCAAGACCCCCCAAAATCTTGTATGTTTCAATAAGATCACCCCACATTCTTCTAAACTCGAATGAATTTCTAAACTGTTTAGCCATTCTTGATAAGTCAACACCTTCATAGGAATCAGCCTAATGAATCTCTTTTGAACAGCCTCCAATGCCAATATATCCTTTCTTTAAAATAATGGCACCAAAACTGTGCAGTACACCAGATATGGCCTCACCAACACCGTAAACTGTTGTAACAAGACTTCCCTATTTTTAAACTCTAACCCATTAGCAAAAAAGGCTAATTTTCCATTTGCTGCCTGAATTACTTGCCATACATGCAAGCTAAAATTCTGTATTCCATGCACAAGAACACCCAGATTCCTCTGCATTGAGCTTTTTTGGAGTCTCTCTCCATTTAAATAATGACCTGCCTTTTGATTCTTCTTACTAACGTACATGGCTTCATTTTTTTCTACATTATACTCCACCTACCCAGTTTTTGCTCACTCATTCAACCTATCCATATCCCCTTTAGGTTCCTTATGTTCTCATCACAACATGTCCTCCCAACTAATTTTGTATCTTCAAATTTGGATACATTACACTCTGCTCCCTCAACCAAGTCATTAATTTAGACAGGAAATGATTGAGGCCCTAAGACTAATCCTCATGGCACACCACCAATGTCTTCCCAACCTGCAGATGACTCATCAGTCCTATTCTGTCTTCTGTGTATTAGCCAATCCTCAGTCCATGCTAACACATTAGTCCTAGTACTACGAACTCCCACCTTGTGCAATTACTTTATATGTGGCCTCTTATCAAATGCCTTCTGAAAATCCAAATACATTGCATCTATTGGTTCCCCTTTATCAACTCTGCTTGTTATATCCTCAAAGCACTCTAGGAAATTTGTCAAACGTGATTTCCCTTTCACAAAGCCATGTTGACTCTATTTCATTGCGTTAAACTTTTCTAAGTGTCCCGTTATTTCTTCCTTGATAAGAGAGTCTAGCATTTTCCCAATGACAGATATTTAGCTAACTGGCCTGTAGTTTCCTGCTTTATGTCTCCTTTCATCTTGAACACAGGTGTTACATTAACAATTTTGCAATTCACTGGAACTCTTCTGGAATTCAATTAGTTCTGGAATATTTTGACCAATGTCTTCATTATGTCTGCAGCCACTTGCTTCATAAACCTTGGGTGTAGACCATAAACTGCTGCTGATTATCTGATTTTTAGCCCGTTAGTTTGCCAAATACTTTGTCCCCTATGATGGAAACGGTTACAGACCTTGTCTTTCATTAACACCGCACTTATTTGTTATCTATAGAATATTTATGGTGTTCTCCACTATGAAGAGCAATGCAAAATATTGTTTCAAATTATACGCCAGTTCACTGTTTCCTGTTATCAATTCCCCATTTAATCTTCCAAAGAGCCCCACTCTTACTTTAGCTATTCTCTTTCTTTATATATTCTTGTAGAAGGTCTTGCTGTTTGTTTTTATATTTCTTGCCAATTTACTTTGATAATCGATTTTCTCCCTTGTCATTAGCTTCTTAGTCACTTATTGCTGGTTTCTAAAAAAATCCCAATCCTGTGGCATACCTAGTTTTCATTACCTTGTATGTGTTCATTTTTGATGGGATACTCTCCTTGACTGCCTTTGTCTACCACCGATGGTTCATCCTTCTCATTGAGGCCTTCTCCTGACCAGAATAAAATTGTGCTGAGCATAATAAAATATCTGCGTATATGTCTGCCACTGTTCATCCACTGACCTTCCCCTTAGTCGATTTTCCAAGCTCACTTTAGACAGCTCTTTCTTCCTACCACTAATAGCTTTTAAGTTGCGAAGACTGGTCTGAGACCCAAGTTGCTCTCCCTCAAACTGAATTTGAAATTCTACTATGTTGTGATCATTACTCCCTAGAAGATCCCAAACCATCAGATCTTTTACTAATTCCACCTCTTTGAACATTAATCGATCTAAAATATCCTGTTCCTGAGTAGGTTGTGCAACACAGCGCTCCAAGAAACAATTGCTGATGCACTCTACAAATTTATCTTCCTTGTCCTTGCCCATCTGATTTGTACAGTCAATATGCAGATTAGAAATCACCCATAATAATTGTAGTGCCCTTCTTCCATGCCTTCATTATTTCCCAATTAATACATTTACCTGCAGTGTAGGCTATAGGGCCTGTAGACAACTCTGATCTGTGATATCTTTCCCTTACTATGTCTTACTTCCACCCAAACTGATTCCATGTCGTGATCTATTTCATCTACATCACTACTCACCTGTGGACAGATATTTCCTTTATTAAGAAAGCTACCCCACCTCATTTTCTTTTTTGCCTATTTTGCTGGAATGTTGAACACCCTGAAATATTGAGTTCCCAGTCTTGGTCATCCTGAAACCACATCTCGCTAATAGCTATCAACTCAAATTCATTTATTTTTGTTTGAGCCGGCAACTCATCTATCTTGTTATAAATGCTGAGTGCACTCAGATAAGCGCCCTTAGCTTTGACTTTCAACCATTATTACTCTCTCTGGTTCTAATTTCTGCTGCCCTCTCCCATGTTTTTTTTTTACCCCTTCCTATTGCGCTTTGTTTATCATTTGCTACCAAGTACATATGCTCTCCTGTTTATTTTAGATATTTTAAACTTCCCTTCAATTGAACCCTCCTTTCAACTAATTAGCTTAAACCCCTATGTATAACAGTAGTTACATGATTCATCAGGCACTGCCTTCATAGTGATACTGACTGCGATGCTGACTTGCTGTACACTCCTCCCATTGCTTCACAGTGATGATAACTTGCTGCACACTGACTCCCGTGGAGATGATATAAAGGTTAGTCAGATAAATCAGTATATTAAGAAACTGTACTTTAGAATTGTTTCTATACTAAAGTGGGGATTGCGATTAAAATTTAACTGCTGTGGCTTTCATCAAATTCTGATCCTCCTTTTAAGCTAAAAAATGTCGGGGCAAGGGAGAGTGGAGAAAATTGAAAAAAAAACTTAAAATTTCAGTAACATTAATGCTGGAATAAAATGGAATTCTTAAAACTCCACAGTGCATGAAGTGCAAGGATATGTGGTTTAAAGATCAAGAACATTTTTTCAAAAACTGTATGTAGTGAACACAATTCCACTGCTGGAAAGTTCCTTATTCTATCTTTGTGGATGTAACTTTTTTTCTGTGGTACTGTATATTGTACAAACTAAAATATAATACAATATATCATTGTAGGCAATTTATATTTGGAATCATCTTTATTCAATATTATAACAACATAAATTGGAACCTATGAACAGATATATACCTGGGAAACACTTTTGATTTGAACTTGTTCTTCTGAGGAATCCATATCAAACTCTCCAAGTACAACTTGATGATACCCAGGGCTGTTGAAAATGAATTTATGTTAATATGTGATGAACATTTGACATTTTAGTTGTTACAAAATTTTCCCTCTTAAATGTTTAGTTGTTACCAATGTTGTCTCTGGTTCTCATTAAGATATCCAAACAATGGCTTAATCTGGAGATGAAAAGTTGTTGAAGGAAATGATATTGCTCGATCAGAGATAGTAGGAACTGCAGATGCTGGAGAATCCGAGACAACAAGATGCAGAGCTGGATGAACACCGCAGGCCAAGCAGCATCATAGGAGCAGGAAAGCTGATATTTCGGGCCTAGAACCTTCATCAGATGGTGATGAGCTGCCTCCTCCTGGTGCCATTTTCTATTCATTGGGAGTCCAAATTATATGACTGAATGGTGATAGATAGGGAATGTTGCAATGTGCATGGTGGAATTTGATCCCTCGCCTTCTGCTCAGTCACAATACCTAATTTTCATAGACTTAATGTAGAGCTGGATGAAATGCAATGCTCTTTATGAATTACTCATGCCTCACAGAATATCCAGGCAATGGTTCACCCATCCATACCTTCTCTGAATATCATTATATACCAGAAATGATATTGAAACTCATTGGTTTCTATTCATTGCAAAAAAGATAGCTTAAATTCTCTACATGTCAGCATTAATACAAGCCTTCCCTATTGTGCCAACATTTCCAATGTTTGACATCATCTTTGGCTTTCCCAGTGATATTACAACCACACCAGGTTAGAATAAATTTAGAGATGGCTTTGGGCTGTGCATTGAGATCCAATTGGTGTAATGTGGCTGTCCAAACACTATCTGCACCTAATTTGTATGACAGATAGGAAGAATCAAATTTAGTTCCAAAAGGCAAGTAAGTCTCTAGCACGATAAACCACCAGCCCCCATCTAAGAAATCAATCTGCTGACGGGAGATTGGGGTTACGTTTATGGTGAACTGTGCTGCATGATAAGCATTGATCAGTGTGGTCCCAGAATTGGGTTTGCCTTGTTGTTACATTTCATCATAGAACCCCCACAGCATGAAATCAGGCCATTTGGCCCACCTAGTCTACACCAACCCTCTGAAGAGCATCCCATCCAGATTCACACCTCTATCCTGCCCTGTAACCCTGCATATCCCATGGCTAATCCAACTAGCCTGGACACCCCTGGACACTATGGGCAATTTAGCATGACCAATCACCTAATCTTCACATCTTTGATCTGTCGGAGAAAACTAGAGCATTCAGACGAAAACAACCCAGAGAACATGCAAACTCCACACAGACAGGCACCCAAGGGTGGAATTGATCCAAGGTCCCTGGCGCTGTGAGGCAGCAGTGCTAACCACTGAGCCACTGTGCCACCCCTGTAATTTCTGCAATGTAAATGTGGATGGCCTGGTGTCAAATACTTACTTAAAATTGCAGTGGGCAGCAGTGATAACTCAGTTGTGATTTATTAGAGAGCCACCACAGAAATGATGTCCATAATAATCCTGTTAGGAAAGTTTCATAGAGGCAACAATTAAATCAAAGGAGTTTAAATGTACAAAAAGCAGAATAGAGCAGATGCTGGAAACGAAAACAGAAAATGGTGAAGATACACAGCAGATCTGGTGGCATCAAAGGAGAGGGGAACAGTTAATGTTTCATGTCAATGGCATTTCATCATCTGAAACATTAGCATGATTTCTCTCTTCACAGCTGCTGTCTGACCTGAGTATTTCCAACATTTTCAGGTTTTATGGGAGCTTAAAGGTACATTAGACACAACAGGGAAGAAATTGGACTTTGGTTCATCTATTTTTCAGACACAAAGCAGTTTCTTAACTGTGCGATAACAGTGGGCAAATGAATGCAAGCAAATGCATCAAGAGCAAATAAGCCCATCTTTTAGTCATCCCACATGTATACCCGAGACAGGTTTTTGGCCCATTGCTTCTGCACATGCAGTTTCATGGCCCATTTGCTGAACTTTTCTTCAGCACTTGAAGGTGAGCAACTGTTCTTGAAAGTCACTGGAAAGTCACTACCGAATAGATAAGTTGCAAATCATAATTTCAAGTTACTGTATGTGGATGTCAGAGATTAAAATAAAACATTGTAAATTATGGTCTTTCACTGTATAAGTTATATTATAATTAATGTTACCCACAGGGGAACCTGCCATGGCCAGGATCCAGGTTGAGCATACTGTCCATTAACAATTCTGGATTCATAACTTTTGGTGGGATAGACTGATGGAGCTGTAGAAACTGTGAAGTACAAACATTTTACCAATAGCTGAAAATATTTTCATTTCTCCCTTATCAAAGAACTGAATGTCAATTCTTGTATTTTTAACAAGGCTATCAACAATATTAAGTTTCCCTTGAGTTTGTAAAATGCAGCATTATTGACTTACTCAGGAAAAACCTAGTAAGGGAATACTTCAAATCAATATCTCTCTGACAGTTCTACAAAATCCCACTGAAGTTGTGAAATCTAAGAATTATTTTAAGTTGAACATATATGCCTTGTAAAAACATTACTACATCACATAAAAAAATACCATTTTTGTGTTGGTTGGACAGCAGCACTTCAACTACTTTTTAAATCAACGTATTTTAATTAAAATAACTCTTTGTTAATATTTTAACATGAAGGGTCAAATTATTTTATTGTAACTGTCACTTACCCATAATTACTGTGATGATAGCGAGACAGACAGTCCAGGGGAGCCCCATGCTTACCTTTCTGGTTTGGTTGCTGTTGTTCAGGCAAGCTGCCTTTTACAGCTTTTGCTAAGCTCTCAGCCATATCTGTAATCGATATGGAACATTAATTCACCAATTAAATGATAAACATGGAGGTTAATTACTTCTATCAAAACAAGCACATGTTGGATGCTTTTACTTAGTAATTGCCTTGCCTTGGTGAAAGCAGGTCTTGATTCCAGTTTGAAAAAAAAGCTCAACGTATGACACAGTATAGTTATTTTAATCTGCTTCCATTAATTTCCCATGACTCCTGAAATCATTCACTTTTTCACCTCCCAAACATCACTTGCCTCTTCCTCTATTTCAGTCACTCTGCTACTGAAACCCTTGTCCATGGCTTTTTTTTTACCTCCAGGTTTGACTATTTCAATGTTCCCCTGACTAGGCTCCTATATTCCACTCTCCATAAACTTCAACTCACTCAGAATTCTGCTACCCTCGTTGTATCGCACAACAAGCCCCATTCATCTGTCTTTGCTGACCTACATTACCATCTGGACGTTCAATGCTTCAAACTTAAAACTTCCCTTATGTTTAAATCATGCTCCTGCCTTTCCAATCTTCTATAATCACCTCCAAACCTACAAATCATGAATTCTTCACTTATCTGACTTTACTCTTTGTGGACATCCCTTCCTCTTGTTCCAGATTGGCGACTGTGATTCTGCTACCTAAGCCCTATATTTTGGAATTTCTTCCCTAAATTCCTCAGCCTCTCCTTGTGCCTTTTGTTGTACGTATTTTTTCTGCATACATTTACCCCATTGTAACCCTTCTCACACACTGTTCCATCCATTAACCTGTAGCTGAGAGGACAATGAGTCAAATGGTCTTAAGTTGGTAGCAACTATAACTCGCAAATGGAAGGTTTTCACTCCAATGCCTCAAGACTCATTGGTGTTGCACACTGGCAAACAATGTGGCGCAACTATCTCTTAGGGACTTTATGTTGTTACATCCAGTTGTTACTGGATAGAAACCCATGGAATCATTAAACTGAAAATATTTAAAGCTGTATGTTGGGTGCAGTGATGAAATAGAGTGCTCAGGTGCTATTTTTGATCCAATTTAATGCACATTTTGGAAGTTAAAAAAAAGAGGTAATTAAAGATGGGGCCACATTAGGATCAGTCTAATACTAAACTGATCCTAAGATTTTCTAAGGCAAAGCTATGATAATACTTATGTAATGTTACAATCATGACAACTAGTTGGGAAAGAAAATGGCTCATGAGAACACCAAAAACAAGTGCTGAGGCTGGTCATGATGAAAATAATGCAATACAACTTGTAATTTAGGAGTTAGAAGAAAAATTGTAGGGGTTGCTTACAACCAGGGCAAGGTGATGGGAACTGATCCAGAAGCAGGTGAATGAGACTGTAGTTACAAGGAAATAACACCATGAACTGGTGTGATCCACCTGAAGGGAAGCCTTGCCTTATTATAGTGTCTTTCATGATTACCACAAAGTGCTTTGAAATTTAGTCACTTTTCAAATGAGCTTGTTTAACTTGGGAAGTATGCAGTGCACATTTCCCTCCAAGTTGGAGAAGGCATATTTTGTATTCATCCAATTATACTTGGAAATTGCTTGCCTCTGACCACTTTGCACACCATCTATTTTGGAATGTGAGCATCGCTAGCTGGCCAGCGTTTATTGCCTATCCCTAGTTGCCCTTGATAAGGTGGTGCTGATCTGCCTTCTTGAACTACCACAGTCCACGTGCTGTAGGTTAACCCACAATGCCATTGTATGCCAGCAACAGTGAAGGAACAATGATATGTTTCCAAGTCAGGATGGTGAGAATCTGGGAGGGGAACATTTACATGGTGGTGTCCTCATGTGTCTGATGCCTTGGAGCTGAGATGACTGACCTCCAACAATCCAAACCATCTTCCTATGTGCCAGGTTTGACTCCAACAAGTGGAAAGTTTGTCCCCTAATACTTGATTCCAGTTTTGTGATGGGCTCCTTCATGCTAATCTGGGTCGATTGCAACCTTGTTGTCAAGGGCTGTCACTCTCACCTCACCTCTGGAATTCAGCTCTTTTGTCCATGTTTGAACCAAGGCTGTAATGAGATCAGGAGCTGAGTGGCCCTGGTGGAACCCAAATTGGGCGTCACTGAGCAGGTTAACACTGAACAAGTGCTGCTTGATAGCACTGTTGATGACACCTTCCATCACTTTACAGATGATTGAGGTTAAACTGTAATTGATTAGGTTGGGATTTGTCCTGCTTTTTGTGTACAGGATATACATGGACAATTTTCCACATTGTCAGGTAGATGCCAGTGTTGTAATTGTACTGGAAAAGCTTGGCTAGAGAACCAGCAAGTTCTGGAACTCAAGTTTTCGGTACAATTGCTGAAATGTTGTCAGGGCCCATAACTTTTACAGTATCCTGTGCCTCCAACTGTTTCTTGATATCACATGGAGTGAATTGCATTGGCTAAAGAGTGGCATCTGTGATACTGGGGGACCATAGGAGGAGGCTGAGATGGATCTTTCACTAGGCATTTCTGGCTGAAGATTGCTGTGAATGCTTCAGCCTTATATTTATGTATAAGTATTTGCAGTTGCAGTTCTGGACTTTTATTTTATGACTTTTATTTTCCTTTGAACGTATATCTGTAATGTTGTTTTTCAGTCTTGGCGTCTTAACACATGTATATACTATGTATATCAGCCTTAACAAAACATATGCATTAACACTTAGCAGTTCAAGCGCATGAATGGATAGGTACACAACTGAAAAAATAGAACCTTTTATCAATGTAAAGCAGCTGTTAAAGAGTCTGCAAGAAATACAGAAAATCTGTGCCATGGTCAATGCATCACCTTCTTCTTTTCCCACCATTAATTGTACACAAGGGCATCAAAGTTTTTGTTCCTGATAAAACCAGCTTAATAATTAAACAAGATATATTGGACAAGCACTAGATGTATCTTACGACATAGAAATTAAACTTTACATGGAAAAAATTATTATTTAACATGAGTAGAGTAGTGGGAGCAAAAGGTTTTTAACAAAAATTGATAGATTATGAATGGCCAAAACAGAAGGAGTTCAATGTGGGAAGTGCAAAGTTTAGTGGAATGGAAGAGAGTATTTTCTAAATAGCGAGAAGCTAGAAACTGTGGGAAAGTTGAGGGAGTGTGTGGGGAGATTTAAGGGTCCATGTTCAGCAGTCAGTGAAAGCTGAAGGCAAGGTATAAATGTTTATTTAAAAGGCTACTGGAATCTCAGCTGTAATCTCAACAGACAGGAATGTAAATGCATTGATGTTATGTTACAACTGTTCAGAGCTCTGGTCAGCTGGTGTCTGGAGTATTGCATTCAGATCTGGACTTTACACTCCAGGAGCACGATATTAGCCTTAGAATGGGTGTATTGAAGATTCACCAGAATGATACCTTTTACCCCAGTTTAGAGACAGGTCCATTATGGTGTCAGATTGTCAGACTTGGCTGGTAATCTCTTATATGACAGATTAGTTGTTATTTAAATGGTGAGCAATTGCAGCATGCTGCTGCACAGAGGGACTTGGGTACCCTTGTGCATGAATTACAAAAAGTTGATTTGCAAGTGTAGCAGGTAATTAAGAAGGCAAATGGAATATTGTCTTTCATTGCTAGATGGATGGAGTTTAAAAATATGGAAGCCATGCTGCAGCTGTATTGGGTGCTAGTGAGGCCACACCTGGAGTACCGTGTATAGTTTTGGTCTCCTTACTTGAGAAAGGATGGACTGGCACTGGAAGGGGTGCTCAGGATGCTCACTAGGTTGATTCCAGAATAGAGAGGGTTGGCTTATGAGGAGATATTGAGTAGACTGGGACTATATTCATTGGAATTTAGAAGAATTAGAGGGGATCTTATAGAAACATAAAATTATGAAGGGAACACATTATAGTAGGGAGATTCTTTCCACTGGTGGGTGAAGCCAGAAATAGGAGGCGTAGCCTCAGAATAAGGGGAGCAGATTTATGACTGAGTTGTGAATCTGTGGAATTCCCAGCCCAGTGAAGCTACCTCATTAAATGTTTTTAAGGCAAAGGTACATAGATTTTTGAACAGTAAAGGGTTTAAGGGTTATGGAGAGTAGGCAGATAAGTGGAGCTGAGTCCACAAAAAGATCAGCCATGATCTTATTGAGTGATGGAGCAGGCTCAACAGGCCCCAGATGGCCTAATCCTGCTCCTGTTTCTTATGTTCTTACGTAAGACAATGATAGAATAGATGGAAACTATTTCCTAAAGTGGGGGAGTCCAGAATAGGGCAGCATCACCTTGTGTTGGTGTAAAGCAGTGCACTTCAGTCTAAAGATCTACAGCTGCTTCAATGACCTTCCCTCCATCATAAGATCAGAAGTGAGGATGGTCGCCGATGATTGCACAATGTTCAGCTCCATTCAGCACTCCTTAGATACTGAAGCGGTCCGTGTACATATGCTGCAAGACCTGACCAACGTCAGGCTTGGGCTGATAATTGGCAAGTAGCTCTTACCCTACAGAAATGTCAGGTGATATCCCTCTCTAACAAGAGAGAGTACAACCATTATCTCTTGACGTTCAATGGCATTACCATTGCTGAAATCCCCACTGTCATATCTTGGGAGTTACCATTGACCAGAAACTGGTCTGGACTGGCCATATAAATAGCAGATTTTTTAAAATTCATTCGTGGTGTATGGTTGTTGCTGGCTAGGCCAGCATTCATTGCCCATCTCTATTTGCCCTAGAGAGTGAGATTATAAGCTGCCTTCTTGAACCGCTGTAGTGTGTAGGGACGTCCACTTTGCTATGAAATCAGTACCAAGATTTTGACACAGCAGCATTGAAGGAATTGTGGGTGTGTGACTTGGAAGGAAACTTGAGGCTGGTAGTGTTCCTATGCATCTGCTGCCCTTGTCCTTCGAGATGATTCCTACTAGACCAGGTCAGAGACTGGGAATCCTGCAGCACTAACTCACCTCCTGACTCCCCAGAGTCTGTCCACCATCTCCAAAGCACAAGCCAGAGTGTGATGGAATACCCT